CGTTCTCTGCACCCCTCTCCCTCTCTCTCTCTCTCTATCTAAATAAATAAGTAAAGTCAGAACAACTGAGAAATTAACTTTTTTGTTTTAATTTTAAGTAACTTAAATCTAAATAGTCATATGTGGCTACTGGCTACCATGTGGGACACCACAGCCCTAGGTGGTCCTTCCCACTCCACACCATCTAGCAAAACTGGGCTCATCCTTCAAGGCTTCATTCCAAGGTCTCCAACCTTCCTTCTGTTCTTGCGAAGAGACAGACCCCTCTTCGGTTCTCCTATAGTGCTTCATACGTATTTCTCATATGTCAGTATACAGGAATGATTTGGTTGCACGTCTACCCCTCAGTAGACTGCGGGCTTCCTGCAGGCAGGGATCTCTTTCTCGTCTCTGTAGTGCCTGGACTGGAAAACGTCTGGCACATAATAGGTGCTAAACAAATAACTGTTGAATGACTAGATGAGTGAACAGGTACATGCTTCACGCTTGTGCCCAATCTTTGTTTCTTATTTCCACTAAGCGTAGAGGAGTGTGGGAAAGGTCAGAGATGGGAAACCAAAATCCGTTCGATTTTCTCATGAGCCCCATCTTCCTCCGACAGCAGAGTGAGGGACAGAAAGAGCAAATGAGGTCAAGACCGGGTTCAGAGTCCACGGCCCCCATCTGCTGAAGCAAACTTGAAGGCATTGACTTCAGCAGAACGTCAGGGACTTCAATATTAGACCAAGTACCTACAAGGGAATTTCTAACTTTGAAGCCAAAAGAGGGGAAAAAAGGTTTTGGTCTTTTTTTTAATATAATTTATCATCGAATTGGCTTACATACAACACCCAGTGCTCATCCCAACAAGTGCCCTCCTCAGTGCCCATCACCCACTTTCCCCTCTCCCCCACCCCCCATCAATCCTCAGATTGTTCTCTGTATTTAAGAGAGAACAATGGTTTGCCTCCCTCCCTCTCTATTTGTAACTGTTTTTCCCCTTCCCCTCCCCCATGGTCTTCTGCTAAGTTGCTCAAGATCCACATATGAATGAAAACATATGACACCTGTCCTTCTCTGACTGACATATGTCACTCAGCATAATACCTTCCAGTTCCATCCACGTTGCTGCAAATGGCAGGATTTCATTCTTTCTCCTTGCCAAGTAGTATTCCATTGTATAGATATACAAAAAAAGTTTTTTTTAAACAGATAATCATGACAAAATCATTTTGAGTTGATAAGGTGCTGCATTTGATGCAGGCATTTTTGTCCATGAAAACTACATGATTTTCTGCTTTATAGTTTAGTGTCAAAAGCCATATTTGAGGCTTGTTCTTTAAATCAGCTCTATCTATTGCTGAGCTCAGTGGCTCAAACTGAATCACCAGAAGTGATGAAGCCAGGCTTTGGCACGCTGGCACCTCCAGGTCTGGGTCCCGGAGGGGCTTACTAAGTGTCTTTAAAGCTAACTGCAGGCCTGGGGCACGTGGGTGGCTCAGTTGGTTAAGCATCGGACTTCGGCTCTGGTCACGATCTCACACTTCATGAGTTCGAGCCCCTCGTCAGGCTCTCTGCTGTCAGCACAAAGCCCGCTTTGGATCCTCTGTGCCCCCCTCTGTCTCTCTGCCCCTCCCTGGCTTACTCTCTCTCAAAAATAACATTGGAAAAAAACTAACTGCAGGCCTGAGCTTTTCAGAGAGTATATTATTAAAAGTTTCATCTCTCTCTGCAAATAGTGTTTGTGTATTTCTGTGTGGAAGGCATGAGGGTTGTGGAGAGCACAACATGGCCCCTGTTCGTGAGAAGCTAACACTCTAGGTAAGAACTACAAGAAAAGTGATCTTGCGTCGGGAAGAAACATGGCTTAAGGGCTTTGCTGTAACTATTAGTTTGGTAAATACTAATTTTTCCATAGATCAGACATTGACTGGCAAAGACTCAGTGTCTCCAGATAATCAAATTAAGCCTTGAGAGGATGAGAATGAGAAGAGGGGGAAAAGAGAGAGTTGGAAAACCGAACAATGAGAAGGAGATAGAGATGACGGAGATGATGGAGATGATGCAGATGATGGAGATGGAGATGATGCAGATAATGCAGATGATGCAGATGATGGAGATGACAGAGATGGAGATGATGGAGATGATGCAGATGATGCAGATGGAGATGGAGAGTGGGAGATGGAGGGGGGAGGGAGGAGAGGGAGAGTTTGGGCCCAAGATGCCTCTGACCGTGGTTGTTTCCTCTGTTCCAAACAGCTGGCTGGGTGTTTGGAGTTTGCGATGACTCACCATGTAGGCGGGGTGCCGAGGGAAGAAAAGAGAAAGCCACAGAAGATGGGAACCCCCTTCGGGCCCCTTGGGGTGTGGCTCTGGCGTTCTGTCTCATGGCCTCACAAAGCCCAGCCTTTGGCACTCGGGAGCCATTTTATGAGGTGGTTTCAGAGTCCCCCCAAGTTCCCTGGGGGTTTCCCCTAGGACACAGGGACTTCAGTGTCCTTGGTTGTAAACCTAAGTGACCACACATCAAGACTGTCTAAAAAGGGAGCAGTGTTCCCTTGTAAAAATGGGGGTGTTAGCTTGAGTCTTCCTCCCAGAAGAGGAAGGGAGGAGGGAGCAGAGAGGACTGACCTGAGCACAGACGCTCATCTGGGAGCTGAACTGCAAAGCCCGACACAGCAGGGACTGTAAGGTCTTAGCTCCACGTGCAGGCTCAGTGGGTGCCTGGGCCTCGTGGACTGAATTCTGTCTCCCTCCCTGCAAACAAAGTCCTATCCCTAGTACCTCAGAACGTGACCATGGAAACAAGGCCTTTAAAGAGACGATGACGTGGGTGCCTGGGTGGCCCCGTCAGTTAAGCGTCTTACTCTCGGTTTGGGCTCAGGTCATGACCTCACTGTCTGTGGGTTCAAGCCCCACATCAGGCTCTGTGCTGACAGCTCAGAACCTGCTTGGGATTCTCTCCCTCCCTCTCTCTCTGCCCCCCCCTTTGTCTCTTTTCAAAATAAATCAATAAACTTAAAAAACATTTAAAGAGACGATGATGTCAAAATTGAAATAAGAGTGTTAGGGTGGCCATAATCCAATCTGCCCCACGTCCTTATAAGAAGAGGAGATTAGGACACGCAGAGAGACACCGGGGGGTGTGTGCCCAGAGGGATGGTGATGTGAAGAGACAGCAAGAGAGCAGCCACCTGCAGGCCAGCCAAGTGGAGAGTCCTCTGAGAAACCAACCCTTGTCAGCACCTTGATCTCGGGCTCCAGATTTCAGAACTGGGAGAAAATCGGCTCCCGCTGTCTGAGCCACCCAGTCTGTGGCATTTTGCCACAGAAACTCCACAGACTCATGGAGAGGGGATCGGAGTGCATCATGTGGTCTGAGGGAGGGGCCCTGGGAGCTCCTCCAATGTGGCACATGTCCTCCACTGGCCCTGACCCCAGACAGTCACTACAAGAAGCTGACGTTTGAGTTCTTCACATATGCCAGATTCTAGGCTAGGTTACTTTCTATTCTGTTACCTCACGTAATTGTTAATACACACCTGAGGCTTAAAGCAGTGAAAGGGCTTGGTTTCCCCAAGGTCACCCGCCTGGGACCTGCTGGACCCAGTATGGAAGCCCAGGCCCTCTGATTCCAGGGGCAGCCACACCCTCAAGCTTTTATTTATGTTTTTGTTTATTTATTTTTGAGAGATAGAGAGACAAAGCGGGAGCAGGGGAGGGGCAGAGAGAGATTGGGGGATGCAGAATCCCAAGCAGGCCCCAGGCTCCATGCTGTCAGCACGGAGCCCGACATGGGGCTTGAACTCACAAACCACGAGATCGTGACCTGAGCCAAAGTTGGATGCTTAACCAACGAAGCCATCAAGGCGCCCCTCTCTGGAGACTTTAAAAGCCAGGAATGTTAGGGACTGCATGCCACTCTGTCTTTCCAAAGTCCCAGGAACACAGTCACCCCTAACCGTCCACTGGAGTTTCTGTGTACGTATTGTGACACAGAGAAATCTTTATTAAGTCCTACTTCTATTTTTACTGGACGCTCTAAGCCAAACCCTTCTCTGACCACCTACGCTATTTAGTAGCTAGTTAAGAGCCATATACAACGCCAAAGATATTACTAAGGAATCATTTAAGAAAATGTTACATTGGACTCTTGCACAGTGGGATCTGACCTCCGGCACAGTCAGAAATCTACATAAAAGTTTTGATTCCCCAGAAACTTAACCACCAATAGCCTACTGTTGAGTGGAAGCCTTACCAATCATATAAACAGTCAACTAGTACATTGTTGTATGTTATACATATTGTATGCTGTATTCTTAGAAGACAGAAAAAAGAAAATATAATTAAGAAAATCATAACAAAAAGTACATTCACAGCACTGTGTTGTATTTATCAAGACAAATCCACATACTACGTGGACCCGCGCAGTTCAAAGCCATGTTGTTCAACGGACAACTGGATTGCTTTCTGGATATTAGCCTCCTTTTTTCTCCTTGGCTAAGTTTGCCAAGCCCAATGCTGTCTGGAGCTGCTTGTTAATATCTATTTTTAATGGGATATATTTATAATTGGATGTATTTATAACCTCTTCCTCATGGACACTTGCCTTCTTTCTGGAATCACAGAGGCATTTTAATGAATTGGCTATGACGGAGAAGAAGTGACTAGAAACAGGTTGTCTGTGGAGCTGGAGAGTCCTGACTACTCCTGTACCAGGCGCCTGATGCACCTTGTGAAGAAAGGTCTTCACCACAGCCATCTGGTTCCTACTTCCACACGAGATAGAGATAGATCACTCCCGGAAGGGACTGAGGACATCGGTTCCAAGGTTTGGCCAGCCAGTGCTGAAAGAAGCCTTCAGTGGAAATCCCTATGATTGAATTCTGCTTGACAAATATTTATTGTGTATCTATTACATGTTAAGCAGATTCGTTGTTTCAATACAGTGCTCTTAGCAAAATCCTACAAGCATCAAAACTGAAAGAAATCTTAGAGATGATGTGATTGGATTCCCTTACCTTAGAGCGGAGGGACACAATGCCTGGACAGGGAAAGCGACTTATCCAAGGTCAAGCAATAGGTTCTAGGCAGGCAGACGACCAGACTCCTCCTGAGTCCTGGGCCAACGGTCCTGACGTGCTGTGCGGCAGTCAGACCTCTGAGGGTATCGTGTCCAAGTTGGTTCACCACACTGTGGAAACCACGTGCACATCTGGAAAGGACCCATACAAAATAATAATAATAAGTAACTGAAATTGACAAGGGATGGAAAATTGATTTTTAAATTAAGTAGCGAAGATTCCAGCTGGACATAAGGAAGTACTTTTCAGCTGCCTGCATGATAAAATATCAAAATGAGCAACAACTCAAAGGAAAGCACGGGGAGAAATTCTCAGAAGGACAGGAGATAAGCATCTGTCTTTGATGGGTGAGGGGTCACCTGCTCCCAAACAGGGAGCAGCAGCAAATGTCTCCATTCCGGCCAGCTCCTAGGATTCCAAGTGCCTTCTATAGGACTCTGGCCAAGCCAACTACTGTTACTGAGCTCTGCATCACTGGCTCTACAATTTGTTTGAAGTTTCCTCTTAAAACCACTCCTTTACCCTCTTGGGTTTTTTTATTTCAAAAAAGTCTTCATTAAATGTATTTTTAAGGGGCCAGGGCAGAATCTGGAATGTCTGAATCTCGGGCTTTTGGGATTTTTTTTTTTTTTTTTTTTTTTTTTTTTTTGCCAGAAGTGACAATGCTGAGGGATTAGAGTCTTGGCAGTAACTACAGGCCCAGGCAAGCAAAAGGTCAAGTGCGGGGCAAAGTTAGTTGACAGACACCATAGATCTCGACAGGCAGGGTCCTGGAGATCAAAGCGGCATTATCAAGCACAGCTGAACTCTGACCTTAGAGCAAAAAGGCCACTTGCTTTCCACCCTTTTTACATAATCTAAATATAGGTCACCTGAAGTTCAGGATACACATCAGAAGCAAATGAGGGCAGAACCTTGACAGCAGCAGGGTTAGAGATGCAAGGGGCGGCCACTGCTCCCCCCACCCCGGCCTGTGGGGCCACATGAACACCCCAAAGTTACCCCGGGCACATCCATAAAGAAATTTAGTGCATCCAGGTGGCATCCACCCACAATGAGTTACCCTTGTGTCCTCCGGAACTGAGAAAGCACCAAACCCCTGGGTTATCAGGGGATCTATCCTTGCTCCTTTCCTGTTTCTGCAAAAGGCATCTCTGTGATGTCCCTAAATAAACCCCTCAGTCCTCTCCTGTACAAGTCCTCCTGGGACCCAGTTGGGTCTCGGGCTCTCAGCGAGGTCGAGCAGTGGTAAGTTACTCCATCCTGGTCTCCCTTGGTGCTATTCCTCACTCACAGACACTAGCACTGGACAACTAGCCTAACTGTTGCTCCATTTGGAACAAACCTCCATCGCTGTCAGACATGAGAAGGACAGACCCTCACATCTCAGCTAAAGGTCGCCTACTCAAAGTCAGGACAGAAGCACGTACATGATGACAGAGACACAGAGGAACACATTAGCATAATGGGCTTCCTCCTGTTCTCGGACACGTGTCACCTTCTGGGCTTTGATTTCACCTTTGGTGTTCAAAGACGTTGGCAAAAGTCCCAGATATTAGCAAAGGGAGGCCAACCTAACAAGAAACCCTACATGCTAAGTCCATTTGTTTGAAGCACCCCCCCCCGCCCCGCTCCACCTGCCAGCAAAGACATTGCAGAATTCACATGAAAACGGGCCCCTGTTCTAAGGGATCATAAAGTGGAGCCATTTCACTGGACCCTAGGACTGGTCCCGAAACCCCAACATCCTGCTGACATCACCTGGTTCTGAGTCAAAAGAGAGAAGATCGTGTAGACCAGAATTTTCCTACCTTCACAGCCTGTGCTGCATTAGGTTCCTGCTTACTTTCGCACCAGAAAAACATTAAGGAAAAATTTCGTGCTTCTCTGTCCTTCCTCCCCACTTCATCCCAGTAGAGAATTCTTTCTAGATGAAGGACGTATGTGCAGGCCAGCACATGTGTGCACACACAGAGCACACAAGTCACAAATACCCAGGCTAGAATTTGGCAGGTGGTCAAATCCTTTATCAAATGAACCATTTTCAAGAGATTCCTCAAGGATAACCCCACCAAACTCCAGGTAAACAGTGACGTACTCACTTGAATCACCAGGAAACAACCAGCACCTTGAGGGCAAGGATTCTGTCATTATTTGGGGATCCCTGCCACCCAACCCTGTGTCCTCACATGACAGTCCTCCAACAAATGTGTCTGTGAATGAATGAATGAATGAATGAATGAAACTCTCTCCCTTATTATGGAGACCATCTCCAGCTACAAGGAAAGGCTTATTTTCCCTCCTAAATTTCTTCAGGGCCATTTCCCAGCCCCCACCCCACCCCCAGTGCCCATGTCACATCCCTACATCTAAGAAACTGAAAATAGAAATTTCCAGAACAACAGTAGGATGCTATGTGGCTAGTTCATGCCAAAGCCAGCTTCTTATTTAGCAGTGCAATTCCACACCAAGTGTCTTCTCTTTATTGTGGTTTTACCATGAATTCAAAGCATAATGCCAAATGTAAGTTCAGAAAGCACCTTTTAAGAAATGAATTTTAGGGGCGCCTGGGTGGCTCAGTCGGTTAAGCGTCCGACTCTTGGTTTCGGCTCAGGTCACGATCTCAGGTTTGTGAGTTCAAGCCCCACATCGGACTCTGTGCTGACGGCATGGAGCCTGCTTGGGATCCTCTCTCTCCCTCTCTCTCTGCCTCTCCCCTGCTCACACACTCTATCTCTTTCAAACTAAATAAAAAAACTTTAAAAAAAGAAATGGACGCTTTTCTACACGATCCCCTGACAGGTGTTAATGTTTTTGTTCGGAGCCAGCTGCGTCAGACGCGGGCTCCTCTGCTGCTTCTCTATCGACGCTCTAGCTCCTGTTGCGAGAACCGTGCCTGGCGCTTGGGAGCCACTCAGGAAGTATTTCTCAATTTCACAGAATGAGTAAAGGTATAAATGAATGAATGGCAGGCTGACGTCTTCTGTGCTGCTGTGAGACTCTCCAGCCCTGGTGAGCCTCAAAGGCAGAGTCCCACGAGACGGGGCAGTGGTTGTTAAACTGCGGGATTACCAGTTTCCCAAGCCAGAATCAGGGGCTACCTACTCCTTCCCTCTCGTTTACCCACCTTCAAAAGAAAGACTCTGTCACTTATGCCTGCTCACCTCCAGGACCAGTTGTGAATGACTTAGTTCTCTGGGCTGGGTGAGACAGGAACTCAACTAGAATGATCTTATACAGAAAGGGTCCCTGGGCAATGCTGTGTCCTTCTCAAGAAGCTTGTGGCTTCTGTCAGGTGCCCTCCTAACACAGCTAGTGTGCCTGGCCCCTCAGGCCTGGGGTTGCTCATGGCTCCCCCTGTGACTCGCCATTTCTACGAGCTGCACCCCTCCCTATCGGTTTCCCTAAACCCTGCTTGTATCATGATAAACAGTCCCTTTATTAAATCCTATATACTTGTCAAGTACGAGCGTGCCTTGTCTTTCCTGCTGGGACCCAGACCCGTATATCCACGCTGGTCTCCTTCCTGACCTAAAGTAAACAAACCAAAAGTTCCCAGGTGTTTCTAATCACAGTTTCCTTGCATATACTAGTTATTCAATAAATATTTATGAAGGTAAATCATCAAGTCCTATCACCAATAACAAAACTAACCTCCATCTTTTCCAATTACAGGTCAGTAGATAATTTCCCTTAAATGTCAAAACTTCGGGTTCGAATACACAAGATTTTAAGAAATAAGAATCTCATTGTAGGGGCACCTGGGTGGCTCAGTCGGTTGAGCATCTGACTCTTGATTTCGCTCTTCTCTCTCTCCCTCTCTCTCTCTCTCTCCTTCTCCTGCTCTCCCCCACTCACTTTCTCTCTCTCTTCCTCTAAAATAATTTTTTAAACAACAGTGCTGAATAAATACCATTTAAAAAACAGAATTTCATTGTAAGTTGGTAAGCCATCCATTTCTTACTAGAATCATCGGTCTCCTGGACACATAACAAAAAAGTATTATGCCTGGAGTACTTTTATAGTAATCCCTGGACCCATCCCCCACATTCTGATTTAATTAGTCTGGAGTGGATCCCAGGCAATGCCAATTTTTTAAAGCTTCCCAAGTGGCTCTAAAGGGCATCTAAGGTTGCAAATCACCTTTCTTCACAGTACCTACCTTCTCCTTCCCAGGGGTGATAAATGTCTGCTTTACCCATAATGAGGTTGCAAAGGTGAAGAAAAGACTGCATGTACGACTGGAGGAAAGGATACCTAGGGAAGTATTTCAAAAAAAATTCCCTCTTAAACGTAAATTCATTGAATAAATAAAATGAATGAAATTGCAAATAGCACCAAGGTCACAGGGAAGAATCCAGAGCTCGGAGCCCTGTTTTAGTGTCAGCCCAGACCGCAAGCCAGACTCAGTGAGGAGATTCAGAAGTGTTCACGCTTTGGTCCCACCCCCATGGCCCCACCCCAGACTGACTGCTTCAGAATCTATGAGGTGGGTCCCAGGTGACAGTAGTGTTTTTTAATGCCCCAGGTGAGTCTAAAGTGGCCAGAGTTAAAGACTATTAGTCTAGACCAAGCAATTTTTTTTAACACCTTAGAAGTTACATCATAGATCATGTCATTCTTTTAACACAAGAAGAAATTCAAATATTTTCGTATAGAGACCAGCGACACCTTGAAATCTGGTCTAAATGTGATTAAATGGCATTGTTGGTAAGTCTAGCTAAGAATTTTTAGTTGCAATGGGCAAATATGGGGGGGGGGGTGCTGGACAGGACAAGACCAAAGCAAACCAGTAAGCGTACCTGGCTGCCTGTCATTAGTTGGTAACCAAATGTCCCAGAGGGTAACGCTGGCACGTGAGTCTGGATGTGCCCTTTGCCAAAAACCGGTAACTCTCCTGGACACATGGTCCCCAGATGAGGTGAGTTCTGTGAAAAATGTCTCTCCAGCAGATGTACAGACCACCAGCTACAGGTTTTCCATTAACACCATGAATCAAAGGAGTGTGCAAGGTTTCCGGAGGAGAAACAGAAGGCCAGCCTGCTGGCCAGCGATGGAGAAGCCGCAAAGGAGCCCACGTTCAGCTCAGCTGGCCCCAGACACAATAAGCTCATGCCAGCCAGACGCTCCTGTAAAAAAGCATCAGTGTATTACCAGTGATTAAATCCCTGTTTGCCTTCAAAGGAACTCATTTCTTAAAGCTACTTCGTAAACTTACATCTTGAAGTGTGCTTTTAATTTATGGCCAAACTAGAGTAAAGAGAAGCAACGTAACGTGGCACAAGAAGGCTCAGTGAGAGTCTTCTCTGGACAGTTCATTTCTTCACATGTCAGATTCGCCTAGCTTGGTGCTTCTCAACCTCGGCCGCACCGCGGAATGCCGTATCAGAACACGTGGATGTCCGGGCGGGGACCCCAGACATTCTGATTTGATTTGCTTGGAATGCAGCCCAGGCATCAGTATTTCTAGAATATTCACCAAGGGATTCCAGTGTGGGACCAGGTTGAGAAGCCCTGCAGTGGATGTCCCTGACGCTCCCCCTCCGGCCCCAGCCTTCTCCTGAGCAATTAGAAGAGGTGAGTAATCCACGATGGAGACATCCCAGAAGCCCGCTCGAGGCTAGCTACTTTGCCTCCTGCGAAGGCTACCATTTCTTTTTTTCCAAAATGAATAGAGCTCTCAATCGAGTAACAACAACAACAAAAAATCTAAGACATCTTTGAAAATAGGTTCCCCCACATGCTGTGCCTCTGCCATTTCTCCCTGGCCTGAGAAGATGTTCAGTGGCCCTTCCCATAGCCCGATCTCAGCACACACAAAGACCTGCCAGGTTGGGTAAGGGGTATTTGCAGCACATCAATAAAAGTGTTCTTGATTCCACCTCCGCCCTTCCCAGTGCCCCTTGGGCCTTCAGGCTGTGGGCCCACGTACATTTTCACAGTTGGCCTTAAAGGACTGATTCCCATTTTGGTTTGGATTTGTTGCCAGACGGCCCCACCCGAGTCCAATTTCCCATGTGCTGGCTGAACCACCAGCGTGGAAGAATATGCTAACATTCCAGAGCTGGAGCTTTGCCAGCCATGTTACATCAGGAGAACTGAGTCCACATCAGCCTTCCAGGGTCACTGTGCTCCCGCTGCCAGGAAGCCATCCTGGAAGCCCACAGTGGATGGCCCCAGCCCTTCATTTCACACTGTCTAGTCCTTGATTCCAGCTGTGGAGAACAAACCCAAGGAAGGGGGCGGGCTGGGGGGAGGAATCCAAGGAAGCACTCATTCAGGGCCAGATTCCAAAAGCAAGTCGTTAAGTAGAAGTTAACTAAATCAAACTTCTGGACACCGGTAAACTACAAAATTAAAACCAGGACAAATGTAGTTACGTCTAGACACTGGTCCGTCAAATCCAGGTTGTAGACTGAATTGTCCAGTTAACTGCTCTGACCTATACCTTTTTGCCCATGGAGACACAGCTTCCATATATTAAAACTCATCAAGCGTTGCTTTCCCACCTGAAGGCTGAAATGACAATGGAAAAACCACATCTGGCCAAAGTTTGATCTTTGGCTCAAGAAATTAGAGTGGTTTTAGTGGGGTAAATTTTACAGCCTGGAGAACTATTTTCAAGTTGCTACAGCTTTGCAAATTTGCAGTTTCCACCACCAAAATTTTCTCAGCGTGGGAAAGAATGAGGAGGGCCACCCAGGTCTTTATTTGGGAGTCGCCTGATGAGTTTGTACTTGCCCACAGATGCCCCGTTTTCAAGACAAAAATCCTACTTAATAAGAACATTTCTTGGGTTTTGGAATTATTCATCATTACGTTTCACCAGATCCTTCACACCAGAAGTAGAAACAAGATGGAGGCATGACGCCTGGGGAAAGGTCAGGGACAGATTTAAACGCGTCTCACTAAGCAAGTCAGCTCGTGTCCCTGCTATCAAGCTTCTATGCCAGCTGTCATCCACTATATCCTTACCCTGGCCCCACCCCTCCTCTGCCCGGGGAAAATGTCCAAAGGAATCTCCAACCCTACAGAAGAGTGAGCAAGGATTATTTCCAGCATTGGCCGCTTGGGTGACACAGGATGTGTCGTGCCACCTAGAAATACTGAGGCCAGGAATGGGCACTAGGTCACATTTGGGGAACACAGGCTGGTGATGTCACACTCTAGATTAGAATGTGGGGTGTCTGCGGACACTGTGTTATTGGCATCACCTGACGGTGTAGCTCGCAGGTGAAGAGCGTGCGATCTGACGTAAGACTAACCTTGGCTCAGCTCCCAAGTCCTCTGTTCTCTCAAGGGAGACCTTGAACAAGTTATGCAACTTTCTGGTCCTCAGTTTCTTCCTCTGTAAAATGGAAAAAGTCCACTTACTTTGTAGGACACATATGAAGATTAAGGCAGTGTAAAATGTTGAAACACAAAAAGGAGTCAAGAAATTATGGTTGCTTTTAGTATCCTTTATCGGCATCTAGAATGATGCGGCTATAATGAGGTCTGTCCACCTAACAGAAATGTTCTCAGGGCCTTATTCTGTGCATTGACTTAATTTTTTTTTCACCGAACAATTTTTGCCCTTCCAATTATACACCAAAGAGGGTACGTGGCACAAAGTGGAGGCATCCGCTAAAGCGAATGCAGAAATTACCTGGAAATCAAGTGAGAGACATGGCCTCAAATGGCACATAGGCCTGACTCAGGCCAGCAAGGTCAAGGCCAATGTGGCTCTATGAAACATCCTAACTAAGGATTTTTTTTTCTGAAATTTTAATTTTTTATACATATATATATATATATTTTTTTTTTATTCAAGTTAGTTGATATACAGTGTAGTATTGGTTTCAGGAGCAGAACCCAATGATTCATCACTTACATATGACACCCAGTGCTCATCCCAACAAGGGCCCTCCTGAATGCCCATCACCCATTTAGCCCGTCCCCCACCCACCTCCCCTCTGGCAACCCCCAGTTTGTTCTCTGTATTTAAGAGTCTCTTATGGTTTGCCTCCCTCTCTGTTTTTCTTTTATTTTTCCTTCCCTTCCCCTATGTTCATCTGTTGGGTTTCTTAAATTTCACATGAGTGAAATCATATGACATTTGTCTTTCTCTAATTTCACTTAGCATAATACACTCTAGTTCCTTCCACGTTGTTGCAAATGGCAAGATTTCATTCTTTTTGATCACCAAGTAATATTCCATTGTGTATATATACCACATCTCCTTTATCCATCCATTGGTTGATAGACATTTGGGCTCTTTCCATAATTTGGCTATTATTGATAGGGCTGCTATAAACAATATAGCACATGCACCTTCAAATCAGCATTTTTGTATCCTCTGGATAAATACCTAATAGTATAATTACTGGGTTGTAAGGTACTTCTATTTTTAATTTTTTGAGGAACCTCCATACTGTTCTCCAGAGTGGCTGCACCAGTTTGCATTCCCACCAACTAGCTAAGGATATTTTAAAAGAAAATCAGTCTTATAAGTTCCAGATACAAACTAAAAGTGACATCACATCAAGGAAATGTCATATAATCATTTTTTGGAGGTTGCCTTAGGAGCCACATTGAACTTGTGATTAGCACATCAATTCTTAATACATGAGAGCTTTCAATATGTTAGAATGTCTTGAGAAAGGTTATATAGTATTTTAAAGCTTTTAAAAAACATTCTGGGGGCGCCTGGCTGGCGCAGTCGGTTAAGCGTCCGACTTCAGCCAGGTCACGATCTCGCGGTCCGTGAGTTCGAGCCCCGCGTCGGGCTCTGGGCTGATGGCTCAGAGCCTGGAGCCTGTTTCCGATTCTGTGTCTCCCTCTCTCTCTGCCCCTCCCCCGTTCATGCTCTGTCTCTCTGTGTCCCAAAAATAAATAAATGTTGAAAAAAAAATTTTTTTAAATAAATAAATAAAAATAAAAAACATTCTGTTGGGGACGCCTGTGTGTCTTAGTCAGTTAAGAGCCCTGATTAACTGATTTCGGCTCAGGTCATGAGCTTGCGGTTTGTGAGTTCAAGCCCCGCGTCGGGCTCTGCACTGACAGCGAAAAGTCTGCCTGGGATCCCGTCTCCCTCTTTCTCTGCCCCTCCCCCACTTGCTCTCTACCTGTCTCTCAAAATAAATAATAATAATGACAATAAAAAAAGCATTCTGTTGATGACATATCTGAAGTTCCTTCTGCGTGGATGGAGCAAAGATGGGCTCCAGCTGCTAACCACGTCAAGTGGGGATAGCACACCGCTTTCCTTCAAGGACCAAGATGGGACCTGCAAAGCACTGCGCAGAGCACCGCAGCACCCAGGAAGTGCTCCCGGTCAAGGTTAACTGCTGCTGTCGCGGCTACAGATTGGCTGGCACTCTCATCCAGTCGTTCGGTGACCGAACCACACCTGTGCTAGGCACCGGGTTTTCTGGGAATACTCCTCCAGAAGTGCAGTCCCTCAAGACTCTCTAAGACTCCAGGGAGCGACGGACATGTAAACGTGTTCTCGTACAAAGTGGCAACTTCTCTAAGCACTGGACAAAATGCTACAGGCACCCAGAGGGGAGCCAAGGCAGGCTTCACAGGGAGTGGAAGCTCTTATGTGGGTTTTAAGAGATGAGTAGGAATCTGTCTGGCAAAGGGAAAGGGCATGCAAGACAGAGAAAATAGCATGTGCAGAAGCCGGAGTTAATTAAAAGGTGTCAGGGACTGAACTGTCTCCCCCCAAATTCAAACGTTGAAGCCCTACCTTCCATGTGGTAGTATTTGGAGGTGAGACTTTTTGGCGACAATTAGGCTTAGACGAGGTCATGCAGGTGGAGCCCTTGTGATGGGATTAGTGCCCTTCGAAGAAAGGAAGAGACACCAGTTCTCTCTCTCTCTCTCTCTCTCTCTCTCTCTCTCTCTCCCCCCTATGAGAACACAGCTTGAGAAGGCGGCTGTCACAGGCCAGGAAGAGCACCCTCCCCGGAAACCAAACTGGCTGGAATCTCAATCTTGGATTTCCAGGCTCCAGAAGTATGAGAAGTAAATGTTGCTTAAGCCACCCAGTCGATGGTATTTTATTACAGCAGCCTGAGTAGATTAATCCAAAGACATGGTGATCTTTGAGGAACAGTGGTGACCTCTGGATAATGAAAGCAGAAGTCAGCCAAGAAGGATTTGGAGAGATCGTTGGAGGCCAGACCGTGAAGGAGCCAAAGAGCAAGCCAAGGATTTGGCACCAATGCTATGGGCCTCCGGAACCAACAGATTTGGGCTGGGAAATGATGTGAATTGATTTCTTTTCTATGAAGATAAGTCTGGTGCCAATAGGGAAAGAGAGACTCTGCAATTTAGAAACAACAGGAGGAGAGGCCTCGGGAGTGAAGCAGAGGGAAGCTGCTTATTAGCTGGTAGGGAGCAGCAGCCACCTTCTCTGCAATGGCTGGGCTCACAGCTGGTCAGCTGCCACCAGGATCCTGCGGCCCTGCAGCCCGTGTGCAGAGAAGGCCTGGCGGATGAGAAAGGGGATCTCGGTTTGCTCGTCAGTGCAGAGACTCAGCTAAAGAGAGCTGCAGTGTTTAAGGACAGAGCCAGAAATGAGAAGTCATTCTTCTCACCAGTAAAAAAAAAAAAAAAAAAAAACCAGCCTTGGTTTGTCCCAGAAATTCCCAGAATGTGACATTTCGGTGGAGAAGAACCGAAGATGGCATGTGAGGGCTCCCGGATTATTTTCCCAATGTGATATGCAAGCCCGTCACCTTGACTTACGCATTTTGGTTTTGCCTCTGAAATATGCTTGGGGAAGCATGTTTAGAAGCTGAGCTTCAGAAGAGCTCAGGGTACTGAAGATAAAGGGCAAGATGACCAGCTGTCCTGGTTTGCCCAGGACTATCTTAGTTTTACACCAAAAGCCCCCCATCCTGGAAAACCTCTCATCCCAGGAAAACCAGGACAGCTGCTCACCCCAAAGAACGATTATAAAATGCGGCAAAAAAGACTGTGATTCAGTATTTATCAAGTCCACAGGAGACAGACATGATACTTGGTGAAAATGAGGTGATGATTTTTCCCCAACATAATTTTAGGGTGCCACACATGAGAGCTCAGAGAACACACATTTCCTCTGACAGAGCCCAACATGTTGACTATGAAACCCAGGAAGCGGGAGACTAACAAAAATAATGACAGTAAGGACTGACATATTGGGCATTTATCATATGCTAGGCACTATTCTGAAAGCTTTACATAAATTAAATAATGTAATCCCAATAGCTGTATGATCATCATCTCATCTTACAGATGAAAAAAAATGGAGACCCGGACATCGTGTATACGAGAAGTGAAAACAGGATGGAACCAGAGTCTGAAACCAGGCAGCCTGGGTCCAAGGTGCACACTTTCAAACAGCTCCTGTAGATAACATATAACAACTCATGTTCCCTGAGCATCTACTGTGAGCCAATCATTGTGCTAAGGAGGCTTTTCGTAAAGCATCTCCTATAACCCTCACAGCAGTCTGCCGAGGTCTAGAGAGGTTATCCATCCTTTCGACCAGTATTTGTTGAGCTTATGGTTGTTCAAGAATTATAATGTTATATGTTTATAGGGGAAGGAGGGTGAGGGTTTAGACCAAAGCAATAGCAGTAAATATGGAAAACAGAAATGAGAGGCAGGGCTCCAGAAAAATTTCTGAACTACAAACATCAGGACATGTGAGTGTTTGAACATGGGGGATGGGGGCGGGGGGAGTCAAGGAGCACTCACGATTTTTTTACTCGAGGGACTGGATGGATGGAAAACCATCTATCAAAAACAAGACTACAAGAAGTTTTCCTTGAGGGGGAAGAAAATGAGGTCATATTGGAATGTGTAAGTTTCAGCTACTACGGGTCATTGCAAGTCGATGTGGCCAGAAAGTTCTGGAAACACGCCTGGAGCTTAGTCTCCATGGTTGGGAACCAGTAGCCCAGACTTGGTGATTAAAGTCACAGGTGTAAATAAGGTTACTCAGAGAGGAGAAAATGACAAATGGTAGAGCCCTAAGGAATGTCAACGTTTCAGGGTGGGGGGTGGGGGGGGAGCAGAGGAGAGCATGCCAAGGAGGCGGTGAATTTTCTAGGAGAAGTAGGAGAAGAACCAGGAAACGAGTGGTTGCCTGGGAACCAAGGGAGGGACAGGTGATGGCCAGAAGGGCCAGTGCCACAGAGGACAAGCAGCAGGAAGGCTGGAACAGACCATGAGGACCAGGGCCCAGCTGGGGACTGAAGGCACCGGTCAGACAGCAGCGAGGGAAACTGACTTCCACCTCAGCCCACTCCTGCCCTGGGTCTCCTTACAACCCTTGGCCAGGAATAAAATCAACTTCAAAGCCTAAGGTTA